TTTGCTTTGTATGAACATCAACATGACCTGCAAACTCTTCCAGACTTTTTTAACATATCCTTCAGAAAGCATAATGTTATTCTTACCCCCTCAACACAAAATTCTGTAAAATCTCACATACCACAGCAAAGGGAAGGAGGTTTGTGAAGACAACTGCAGTCATCATTCCCCCTAGGTTTAATGGTAATTATAAAACTTTTGGATTACCCAGATAGTTGAGGCAGTATCTCAGCTCTCTGGATATTTGTCATTTGCAACCTGATCACATGGCAGATGTCTTCAATGTCACATTCATTCAGTTCCATTCACACAGAATCCTGAGCAACACGTGAAGTAGAAATAGCTTTCAGGTAGGACAGCTGCTATTCAAACTCTGCTCAGCTCTTCGTCAGTTTTTATGGGGAATGGCAAGTCCACGCTCCCCCCATTTTTAGGATGTTTAGCAGATGTTTTCAGAATCACACATTTTTAAGCTAAAGAGAACGATTTTTGCTAAAGAAGGAAACCCTAGGCAAGAGTGGACATTCTGTATTCTGTTTGCCCTTTTTGCACTGGTACGAGACTGGGTTATAGAAGATGTGTGAAGTCTGGTATGAGAATGTTGTTTGTGATACCATACATTCCCCTAGTGGGGAAAAAGAAACCGATGAAGGACTGAAAGACTTGTTTCATCCAGAGGAAATATCTGGGGCTTTCTAACCTGCTAGTCCCCTGGACTGCAGAGCTAGCCTCTCATTCTCACAGTACCTGCCGCTATCCTCTGCAGAGACCCATCTCTTCTACTCCTCAGGACTTCTGTGTCTCTGTCTGGCAATGCAGCTGTATCAGGAATCTCTCATTTGCTGTATCAACTTCATGGGACCCAGCTGCTCTGTGGTGGACTTTGGTGGACAGTGAGATCAGACACGTCCTGGAGTACTCCACTTGGCCATTCCTCTGTAATTACTTCCAAAAGAAGCCAGGGTACACGAGAGGATGATGCAAGCTCAACATCTGTCCCACCTTATGGCCAGGACACATCTAAGGTAGACATCCATGTTCCATGACTGCCCTGCACACTTCTCCATGGTGCAAACACAGACATCAGCTCCATGTCAGTGGTTGTGCCAGAGGTCTGCCTGTGGAAACGAGTAGTCCATGTGAGAAAAGTATAATTATGCCATCCTCAGCAAGTTCTTCTGAAAGTTTGCCAGAAAGACTCCCTCTCTGTCTTTCCCTCCCTGGTTCAAAGGCAGGGAACCCTGAATCAAAATGCTGACCCTGAGGGGTGTCTGCAAGATCAAAGGATGTGTGGGGCTCCCGAGGGGAATTCATGGCCTTTCATCATCTGCTGAAGGATGAAAGTGTCATTTGTAGGGAAAAGCTCCGAGCTGGCAGTAGCAAGAGCATCACACAGAATGATTGCATTCATGCTGAGCAGCTACGGAGCTGTCATCATCAAGTCATGCCTCCATGTTCTACGATACCTGACATAATTTGTGAATAATGAATAGGACCAGGTCTCTAATGGTCTCCAGGTGTGATTTAACCTGGATTAAGCCTTTCACATGCTGTATTTAGTTCCTGCAAGGTCATTTCACTTCTAATAAGTATTGTTTTTGCACATGCTCAGCTGTGTTCTCCTTTAATGCAGTAACTGACAGATGGTAGCAAAATATTCCTTTTATAATGAAACCTGCTGAAGGAGACTGCTTAGGGCCTCAGAAAATATCATTTGCCAAATAAAGGATGGTCTGCAGGAAAGAAAGGAAATACTGTAATGTAGTATATGTAGAATAATTTTCCTCAGGCATCTGCTGATCAGTAGCTTTTTCTCATGTCAGAGAGGTGACCTAGCTGTTTGTTCCCAGTTAGTTATTGCCTCATTCACCTTTGTACTCTTTAAACTCTTGTTTCTTGTGTTGGCATAAGTAGAGCCTCTAAAAATGTACAAATTAACTGTGTGAGGATAAGTTGTAGAGGCTTCTTGGGTACCAGATTTGTACCTCCAGTGTGTTGTCTGATACTTAAAGGTTTTCATTTGTACTATAATTAGCCTCGTTTCTGGGTAAACTACACACCATTTTTTTTAGACACAACTATGCCAATTTCTCTTAAGTTGCAATTAATTCCTAGCAGTATTACTATTACATCTTTTGTCCAACCATGCGCACCCTGGATTTTCTCATGGCCTGTGAAAGCTTATCTTGGCAGCTGAATACCTCAGAGTTGCCTAATTTATCATATTTCTCTGAGGCAGGCAGTTTTGGATGGTAGAAGCCTACCCTTCCCAAGCCTTCAGGAACCTGCAACCTTTTTCTAATGTCAGTCTTTTGCTGAGTAGCTATCTTTGCCATTCTCAGTTTCCTCAGGCTCCCACATAACCAATTTTTTACTCTTTTATCCTCCATACCAACATACAGTTAAGAAAGACTTGATGTGACTTCCTTTTGCATCCATTTACCCTGTCCTATAAATCATACAAAATGTTCTGCACAGGCTCAAATCTAGAGATTAAATGAGAATCCATCTGTTCATTGCTCCCAATGGGAATATAGTTTCTTTCTCTGCCTCGCTGCTTGACAAAACTCCTAATCCCATCTGAAACTGCTAGTGTTTTGTGTTTGGGGCCTGTTGTATCAAATACACATCTCTCTGCTCTCTCATTCCCCTCTCAGGAATTGTTATTTTTAGACTGCTTTTCTGTCTCTGATGGAGTCAGAAGTTACATCTTAACCTATACAAGCTCTGGTGGCATATGTTGTTCTGCTCTTTTGCTGCAGTATCAGGAAATCTGCCATCCAGCTCGGCTCTTCTGATCCGTAACCCCCTTGTCATTGCTGCCCTTATGGAGAAATGCATATGAACACTTCCCTTATTTCTGCTTCTTGCCTGGGTTTTCTTTCACTGTTCTCGGATGTCATGGCTGGCAGCAGATGAGTATTTGCATTAGCCTTTGCCTGTGGCTGGAGGGGAATCAACAGCGCTGGACAACTTAGGGCATATTCCTGCTGCTATAATGTGCCCTGTGCATTGCAGCACTACAGGAGCATTGGTGTCAAGGTGATGTAGCTGTCAGAGCACTCAAGCGCACCATTATTTTAAGAAAGTATCACTGCAACTCTTGAACTGCTGACTCTCCTACCTGTAGGTGTCTAAATCTGTACCACAAGATTCCCTTTGCAGTCAATGAGGAAAATAAAATAGACATCTCTAAGGTCCAATTTAGCTCAACATAAAGTATATAACCAAAATATATGACTAAAGAGTTTCATTTCTATTGACTAGAAAGGCAGCGCAAGTGCACTACCTCACATGCACACAACTATACATAGATACCTGGCCAGGAGACTTGCCTGAGTTGGCTGCTACAACTGCAGAAAACCAAAGGTCCCTCAATGCATCCCACACCTCTGTCACTGTGGACTGAGGTGGACCAGAGTCCCTTGTCACTGGGGGCTAAGGATACACATTCAGTCACTAAGATGCTCACATGGTTCCTTAGCTGGCACATGGCAGCATATTCTACTTCACAGCTTGAGGAACATTTGAACCCATGACACATCTGAGCCATCAGGCACTGAGTATCGGGCAGCTGCTCCTTGGTGCCAGCCTATGAAGAACACAGAATACATCATGGCTTCTTTCGTATGTGTACGTGTTTGGGGATTTTTTGAGAATGAGGAAGTGCCTGACTCTTTTTACCCGTTTCACAGATTGCAGAGCCTTTACTCATCTAGAGAAAGGCACATTTGACACTATTTATTTATTTATTTATTTATTTATTTATTTATTTATTTATTTATTTTAACTGTGGATTATGCACACCTCCAGAAATGCCCTGATGCCATCCTTTTATTGCCAAAAATGCTATCCAAGAATTTTGGAGCAAGGGACCACTAAAATGCCTGTTTTAGATGGGCCACATCACTACACCAAATAGCTGAAATTTGATTACATTTAAGGCTGCCCAATCCTGTGGCACCTCCAGCTGCTAACAGCACCCCTTGACTCCCTCAGCCAGAACAAGAGCACTGTTCCTGAACAGTCCCACCTCAGACCACCGCGTCTGCAGCCCCAGTTCTCTGCTTCTGTGGTTTTGCAAAGAACTGCTGAGCATTTCACAGAGCAGATGCAGGAGTGTGAGTCACCACCTCACCAAGGAACAAGCTACTGCATATCAGTCACTCCATGGAAACAGCCCGTGTATATGCTCGAATACTGCACAAGGCACTTTGAGGCCACTTACATGCCTCTGAAGTAGAGATAATTTGTTTACTTCACATATGCCCAGGAGAAGAGCAATCTGTGTCACACAACTGCCTGTGTACTTCTGATGGAGCATCTCACATGTGATAGCTTGGCTGAGATTTGGCTGGTTCAGGCCACCTGACAGCAGAAAATGGAGCTCAAAACAGGAGCCTTAACCAGTTTGCCCTTAAGGCTGGCTCTCTTTCAGTCCTCAAAACAAGGTGGTTGCATAGGAACGGTTCCTGAAATGTGCTGACCCCCAAAATGTGCCTGGGAATTGTCTGGGACAGCGGCCAACACCATGCCAGGCATTGGCTGAAGAGTATAGCAGGGTAGATGCTTGTGCTCTAGTAGCTAGAAACATTGCTAGTGACTGCTGAATTTACTCTTATAGCTATAGTTGAATGTTTCCAGCCATGTTCCCTAGAGGCGGTCATTGTTTACAGCTTTAATAGCTAGAAAATGTGAATTTTCTGACCATCTCCACGCTTTATGGCACATCTTTCAAGCTGTTCTAATGAAGAAGCACTAGCAACAAAGTTATTACTTACTCCATAAGCAAAATTTGTCTTCTGGGCAGCTCTTGGTGTAAAGGTACTTCAAAAAGTGTCTTAATATTCTGCAAACAAATCAATGATTTATAATTGTGTTGTCTTTAGATGTGAATTAAAGTAATGATCTTTCTTATAGAGTTGAAAAGAAAGCAGACAGATTTAATTGAAGTAAATGGAATCTACATGACCACCTGTTTTGTTTTTTAAACTTTATAGGAAATCAATGTATTGACAGTAGCATTGGTCAACCAAGACAGAGAAAAAAATTCGGAGAAACGAAGTCCAGGTCTAAAATCAGAGAAAGAGGCACTATTAATAGGTAAGATAACCCAAAATAAGTTTTTTTGAGAACAAACTGACTTTTAATATTTTTTTTGATTGCATATGCATTTGCATGCACCTTTGCATTAAAAAATAATTTAAAAAAATTGTCTTTCATCTGGATTCAGATTGGCTTTTAGTAAGAGAAATCCTAGAATACAAGCGAACTTTTGCTTTCTGAAAAAATCTGCAGTTTAATAAAAGAGTGGTCTGCATTTAGAATTGTAGCATGGGTGTATGAAGATTTCCTTTACATCTAAATTTAGCAGGTTAGAACTGTATAACTCATTAGCAGTTTATTAGACAAAATGCTGAAGGAGAAAGGGATGGAAAAAAATATTAGCAAACCACCAAGCAAAAATATGTGTACTGGATGTATTAAGCAAGCCAGATTTATGCTTTTGACATTAGGTGAGGGAATTAGCCATATGAATATTTATAAAGAATACCACAAGGACTGTTGTATCCTTCACCTAGAATAAAATCATAGAAATAAACTATTTAAAAATACCTAAAAACTAAAACTCAGAGGCAGGTGTCCAGCTAACTAGTACCTAGCATTTAGGGACATAAAAATGTTAGTGGTGCCCATGCTGCCCTTGGAGAGTATATGGAGGAAAAGACTATAAAAGAAAAACAAAATTACTACAAAAGTTGTGATTCAGGTGATGTTTTCTTTACTTTGCATGGAAGAGCTAGCTTCCTGCAATTAGAAAGTTTTGGGCACACATCTTAGCAATGCAATACCACTGGTAAAACATGATTTTAATACAACAGAATTTCCAGTCAACCCACCCAAATGTGTGGGTCTTGATTTTTGCTTCAAGAACTCTTGCGTGTGTGCTTATGGTCACACATAATACAAGGAAGACAACTGCTACGAGGACATGCCATAGCATACAAATTAAATACATGTCCTTCCTTTTGCAGGATCAGAACTCTGTAAATGCTATTGGAAAAACGAGGGAGGGGAAAAGGTGCTCTTTACAAATCCAGTCTAAAATGAGTTAAATTGTACTTATCATTTTCAACCATGGCCAGTATTTGGGGAAAACTGAAATCCAAGATTATCCTAATTCATTCAGCATCAAGAAAGCAGTATGGCCTGCAGTACACAAGATACAGTGACCCATTTTTGTCAATTGTAAGCATTTTTAATCCTGGTGTTTATGCTTTAAATATAAGGAACTTCCCCTAGGGTGGTTCAGCTAAGAAACCCATCCAAACAGAGCTGAAAATATTTGCTCTGATTCTTACAGTTCAACTCTCCCCAAACAGTAAATAACACACATGACATTCTGTATTTTCACTGTTTGTTTAGAAGAGGAGAAATTGGATAGTGCTTTTAATAGCATTTCTGATGCCCCAAATCTTGTTTTCTCCGGTCATCATTGTGCTGTCACTTGATTTTCAGTGCAGGAAAAAATCACTAGACTTAGATCCTGACTCCTCCTAAACCACTTTTATTCCTATACCTTTTACAGTGATCCTGTAAACGACAATAAAGACAGACAGAACTGGCTTTCTTTTAAGAGAAAATAAATGAGTAAATATGTCAAAAAGGATTTGTGTTTTCTTCAGCAGTAGTTAGGGGTAATATGGATTAAACACTTTTCATAACCAGCATCAGCGTAATTACTAGAAAAAATTTGAGGGAGTGTGGTTTGTGACACAATTATATGAAACGTTTTCACAACAGAGCACCCAGTGAAGGGGAAAAAAGCAATAATTTTACCATTACAATATCCACAATTTTATATTGGTAAATCAAGCATAAAATTGGTAGTTGAAATGCTTCCAGCAAGTCTTTGTTTAGAAATTCCTTTATTCATCAGTATATTATCTTGGTCACTTACTTGCTAACTGCTGTCATTCCTGAAGATGAGCTATTGTGTTTACCATGTTATTATGACTGTATTAAAAATGTGCCATTTTCTTATGTTTATTGGGTTGTGCAAGAAAAATAGGAATCATAATTCATACTGAAAAACCTGCAAGAACAGACTATTCAGAATTATTTTGCTTATTTTAATGATATACTGTCTAAAGTAATTTCAATATTGTGTGCGTTTGTTTTTAATACAGGTATCATATCCACATTTCTTCACGTCCACCCTTTTGGAGCCAATATAGAATATCTTTGGTCTTATATGCAGCAGTTGGACTCTAGGGTAAAAAAATTTAATCAAAATCTGTTTTCTCTATTGAAATACTGTATTATTCTTTACTGCAGGTTAAACTCTTCGTGTATTTCCATTAGAAAGATAATGGGATATGGGGCTTGGGGGTTTGCGGTCTTTATTCATTTGCAAATTACAATACACCTACTTCTGTTGAGGTCCTATGCCTTGCTCTGGTTAGCTATTCTTCGTGGAAAAGAAGAGCAGAGCTTTAAATGACAAAGACTAGCAGCTGATTTCATGATACTGATCCTGAAATACAGCTGAAGAGAAAGAAAACAGAACAAGAGGCAGATGTAGCTGTGGCCATTAAACCGTACAGAATTTTAGGAGATAATTCCCTATTCTTCTAAAAGTTGTTAGTCTAGGGTCACATTGAACATGAACTTTTATGAACACATAAGTGGACTGTGAAACATACATATCCTTTGACTCAACATAAAAGCAAAAGGGCCTCAAAAAGGAATTTTCTGGCCCTGTTGCTAAATTCAGAGTGCTGTGGCCAACACAAATGTGATATCAACATACTACAGCATGAAAAAGTGTTTCTTAACGCATCAGTTTCTACAGTCCATAGCCAATACACACCCACAGAATAAGACTGACTTTTAAGCAAATACTGTAGGATGAGATGAATCAAGCCCTGTATGTGCTTATTTGTTTCTGCTGAATGGTAAGCAAGTCAAGGGTGAGAAGCTCAGCTGTAAAATAGCCAGCTTTGATCAGGTTAATGCTACTCTCAGATCCAAACAAGGGCTCTGCAAGACACTAGACTGCATGAGATACTTGGTAGATGCAGGGGTCATCCCCAGATTAGCCGCAGCTCTGATCCAGATCTGCCAATACCTCTTCTGAACATGGGGGTTATGCTTCTTGCCCAGACCTTCTTGCAACATGGAGTCAGGAGGCAGCCATGAGGTGCACCTGGGCTCAGAATGTGAGCAGCACTCCTTGTGTGGTGCTTGTTAGAGATGACCCCGTTGATCCTGGTAATGTTCTGTTCCTGACCACTTCCTCCAGCAATGTGACCCACAACCAATATCACCTTCCAACTGCTTTGATGAGCTGCTTCATGCCTCTGTCGGATCCTTCTGTTTCTATGAAGCAGAGGAGATCCTCTAAAAGCAGAAGAGATTCTGAGCTAGAAGCCCACTGGAAATAAGTGAGCTTGCCTGAAGAAGTGAGGAAGGATGATGAATTTTGTCTGCATTACCTTCAGGCCATGACAGCTCATATCTGGTAGTGCTTTGAAATCCATTGTTAGCCATAAAAACAAAGGAGTAGTGGAAGAGGATGGTAGTAAACGGTGAGGACTTACTGCATTTCAAATTTTAAAAAATCTGATTTTACCAAGCCCTGATATAACCAGAGCTTCACAGCTGTATTTGCAGCCCTTCCTCTCCTGCAGCACCCAGTCTGCCCAAGTTCTTCAGTCGTTCAAATCACTCCTTAGCACATTGTATTTGGCTAAGTTTTAACAGCTTTTCCCCCTCACTGACCACTCCAGCTCTCTCTGTCTTGACTAACAACAATGAACTGGAACACCAGTTCCTTGAGCTCCAGCACCACTGCTCATTGCTTCTGCCTGCAGAGCCCTTCAGCTGCCTCCCCCTTTGCTGCTGCAGCCCCTCCTTCTGTGTGTTTGTGGGCTCTTTTTTTTTTGTAAATTTCTAGTCATGTGAGTAGCCTGTTGGCTTCTGCAAGGCTGCCAGGATCAGGTAGCTTTTAACTTGCAATGGATGAGGCATTGTCTTGGTCCCTCCAAGGCACCAAATTGCCAGCCCCTGCAGCTACCACTCGACCTCCCTGCTGCATAATAAACACAAGCTGCAGAATTTGACCTCACTGGTTTATTTTGGAAGTAACTGCTTGTAGCAACAAATTACTTTTTAATAGCACAATCCTGAGATGTAATCTCAGAGATTAATTTCAATTACTTTCCATGGTTAGCCTGTCATTCCTCACCTGAACAGCAATGATAAGGTCAGCATACCCATGTGGGCTGAGGGCTCAGTATAGAGCTCAGACGCATTACCCAAAGGTAACCAGCTATCCATTACTGCCATAAGAGTACGTAAAAGATGGACCTGATTACTTTGGGGCCGTAGACTGACTGCCTCCAACACAGATTTTTCAGCACCACCTTAACAAATCATTTAATCTTTCTGTCTCGCTAAGCTCTTCAGGAAAAATAAAAGGTGATAGATATTTTCTCACTTCCTTTGGGTGTAATAAGGTGTAATTAGTGTGTTCTGTGTTTATACACTGCTTTGAAAATGAAATTTTCCATCATGGGAGTGTCCTACAAATGTGAATAAGCAGAAATATCATCATTGCTAGAGAAGTCTATTAAACCATGGAGATACCTGTAGACAACAGGCAGAACCAATACATTTCTTCACTTTTCCTTGCATGACCATCACTTTCCAACAAAAAAAAAAGTAACTACTAAATAGAAAGTTTCATTTTCCATGGCCACTCATTTCTTGACTTCTCTACTGAATGTATGAGAAAGGTTGCTTTTGTGGAAGTATTTTCTGCAGTGAGAACATTTTTCCCATTAAGATTGTGACCAGTTATTAGGGTTTCAAGACCGTAGAAATATCCTGAGCCATGCTGAGTCAGGAACTTCACTACTCATTTATCTGGGACTGCTGAACTGGGCCAGACTGGGAGAGAATGGCTCCAGAGACCCAGAGATGGCCAACTCTAAGTAAAAACAAAACAAAACAAAACAAAACAAAACAAACAAACAAAAAAAGTGAGCAGATTAAAAATAATGTCTCTGTGTTAGTTTTTTGCTGCAAGAGAAAACTGATGGAGCTGAGTGAAGAAGGAAGAGTTTTCATGTGCCTTGGATTTTTATTTTATTTTATTTTATTTTATTTTATTTTATTTTATTTTATTTTATTTTATTTTATTTTATTATTTTATTTTATTTTATTTTATTTTATTTTATTTTATTTTATTTTTAGCTTATTTCCTCTTTCCAGTCCAAAGGGCAGTTTTCTCACTTTAATTTTACCTTTCTGTCTTTCCCAGATCTCTGCAAATGAGATAGAAATGCTTTTAATGAGACTGCCACGCATGTTTAAACAAGAATTCACTGGTGTAGGAGCAACACTGGAAAAGAGGTGGAAGTTTTGTGCCTTTGAAGGAATTAAAACTATCTGACTGTGACTAGTAATGAAGCTATGCAGAAGAAGAATTCCTAGAGCATGGCAGGGTTATAAAGTATTAAAGTAAGAAATTTGGGTTTTGGCACATAGTAGTATGTTTTCAAAGTTATCCAAGCCTAATTTTAGTTACATTTGTGACGTTCTCTTGTGAGTGGAAATTGTAGTTGTGCACCAGTTCCTAAAATAAAATTAAAAATTAAAAAAAAAAAAAAAGACTTTCAAAATGTGACAGATCTGTTTCCTATGAAAACTGAAGAAAGATACCACAGTCATAATGATTTCAAAATACTACATGTCCTACATCTAAGAAAAGCTCATTGAGCAAACAGTTAAAGAGAAAGATTGCCCGGTTGTGGTCGCTAAGCCTCAGCGATGTGTATGTAATATGTAGTAGAACTCATTAAGTTTTGTTATTGAAAGTTCTTTCTGTTTAGTAAGAAAACTGAGTAATTTTACAGTGAGGGAAAGCATACCAAAAGAAAACTTGAAGATGTGTCTGAAGTTATTGTATTTTGTAAATTAAGTTATATGCTGTACCAGGGATTTTTGCCTTATTGAAAGAGGCCTGAAAATGTGATTGGAGTCCTCGAGAATGCTTTATCAAGAATATTATTTTTCTAATGTAACTATTCTCCATTACAAGTTCTTTTAACATGGATTGCATATCAATTTTCATAAACATGTAAATAAGGAGGAAACCAGTGTTACTGTATTGTATTTGGTATGTAACATTCAGGTTTATGCATCAAAATAAATATTCAGTTGCATTACTGTTACAAATTTTATAGCAGATATATTAATTTTTATCAATAAATATGACTTCTACCTTACTGTTTGTACAAGTTTTTCTTCTGATGTTTTTTGAATAATTATCAACCCAGTAAGAGTCTGCTGGCATTTGTCCTTGTTCTGAACTATTAGCAGTAGATAACTTGGATAAATTAACTTGGAATAAAAAAAGAGCTTGCAAGATTAGCTATAATTAAAATAGCTAAAGTTATTGCTAGAAGAAACACCAGCATGGAGTTTTGTTTATCTGAACAGATTTCATTTGTTTTTCAGAAGGGCAGCCAGGTTAAAAACAAACCTCATTTTCAGTGTGGTGTTGGGTAGTGGCAATGCATCCAATTAGTTGCTCCTTCTAACTCCCAGCTAAAGCTTCTGGCCTTTGGCCAGGCAAGGAATGGAATAACTTCTGGTGGTGTTCCTAAGTAGGGACATTGACCTGAATCATTATTTACTATTTACTGTCAAACACACAGTACTCCAGCACTCCTATAACAGCCAGTAAAAGCTGAAGAAATGTGTGCATAAAACAAGCCAGGTGAGTATGGAAGGAGTGGCTCCTCCCAGAGCCCTACTTTGAAGAACTGCATCAGTACAGCATTTAGCACAGTGCTAAATAAGAAACAGCAACCCTCTCCAAATCACACCTCTGTGTAGGCAGAGGAGCTGGCCACAAGAGAGCCAACCCTATAAACTGGGGCACCAACAGCAGGAAATGTGGCAAATTGCAACAGATGCAGAGAGTATCCAGACACATGTCAGAGTGATGTTTCACTCAGGTTCTTCAATAAACAGCAATTAGTGTCAAATGTAATTAGTCATGAAGGAACTCTCTTACATGGCTGTTAGTGATTACTGCTTTAGGTCCTATTTCTCTTCTGGCATCTACCTGAAATATAGAAATATTATATGAAATGTTAGTTGTGTACAAAAGGGAAAAAGAAAGAGGCTTAGCAGGTCTATTATGGAAGAAAATTATGCTTTCAGCCTTTACACACCAAAAACGTTTTAAAGAACATACACCTCTATTATGGCTGCTGCAGGAGCTGTATTAAGGTAAGTTACTTAGGTGAAACTAGTAATTATATGCCAGTTATGTTAATGAAAATTAACTAGTTTAATCCAAATAGCTACTCTTTCTTCTCTTGTGATCATACAGACCTATGAATAATTCAAGAAAAAATGTGTTAGGTCTGACAGCTCTTATTTAAGTACTGTAACATAAATGTGTATGGATGGCACTTAGACTGGGGAAAAGAGATGTGAGAAAACTTTCACCTCACCTTTTTTTTCATGCCATATTTATTCATTATATTATGTCATCTTCCCTTTTCTCGTGCTCTCCTTTTTGTCCTTTTAGCTCATCTCCCCTCCAACAAAATTCTTATCCCAGATAGCCCCAAAATATTTAAAGCTGATAGGACTGTTGTAACCCTTGTAATGCTTGTAACGCTCGTGCTTTCTCTTCCTCTTTCTTTCTTTCTTTCTTTCTTTTTCTTGGGTCTTCGTGCGGGAGGAGGGAGGGCGGGGGAGGGAGGGGGGGGGAGGAAGGGTGCAGAAGAGCCGGGGTGGAGTCTTTCTTTTTCTTTCCTTCTTTTTTCTTCTTCTTGAAGCCTCTCGCCTTCCTCCTGACTTGATGCCGGCCTCGGACCGTATTTCCTTTTCCTTCCTTCTTTCCTTCTTTCCTTCTTTCCTTCTTTCCTTCTCTCTTTCTCTCCTTCCTTCCTTCCTTCCTTCCTTCCTTCCTTCCTTCCTTCCTTCCTTCCTTCCTTCCTTCCCTTCTTTTCCTTCTTTCTTTTTGTTCTGTTTTTCCTAGACTGTAAGTGCTTTAAGAGTAGATTTCTAGTCATTGTGTTGTACCAGCTAAAATTGAACCTCATTGACTGGCCTTTAGATATCATCATGAAAGTTCTAAATTTTAGGTCGAGATAGAATGCAATGTCTTGACATATTGTAATGTATCAGCTGAGACCCCAAAACCAATGGATCACTTTTTATCATCAAGTTGGGCCCCCAAATTGGCTTTAAAGTCATGTGCTTAATGGCTTTGGGAGAAAATGGATGAAAATGCTCAGCTCCATTGCTTAGCTGCTGAAATATTCTGGTGCTGACTCTTAGGGGTTCTACCTGAGAGTCTTGAAAACAGCACCATGGGATGAATATCAAGCAAGCCACCTTTGAACAACATCTCTTGCAGATATGTTATTGATATATGGAGAAGACAGTGATGTTCTGGAAGCCAGTGTTAAATTTTAGTGATGCACTCTTTGGCTGGCTAATCTGAGCAGTAGTGTCAGTCAATCTGATGCAATCACAGCCCGGAGAATTGCTCTAAATAGCCCAGAGAGTGGCTAAATCGTACCCAGTGAGATTTATTTATTTATTTATTTATTTATTTATTTATTTATTTTGAAGTGTGTATGTTTCAGGCAAAACTTGCAAGTTCACAACTGCCAGACCATCACATGCACTTATGGAGTAGCAATATTGAGGTTTACAGAAAATCCTGTATCAAGCAGTATGTAACTACATATTCTGGGTGGTTTGTTCAAGTTAAAATTCTTGTCTTGCAAGCATGGTTTGATTTAAAATCAGAATGGTTTTGACAGTCAACATCAGTATAACACAAATGATTTGCTCTGATATGAGTTGACTTGAGAAGGGAGAGGTTTGAGTAGAGGAAGGGGGAAAGGAATTGGTTGGTTTGGGGGATACGTTGTTTCTGTGCCTCCAGGAGTACCCAGATCTGATCTAGGACTGATGTTCACTTTGCACCATCTCCCTGAATCTGCCATCTTCCTACATTTATTGGCATTAAGTGCCAATAAAGCAGGACAAGATCTGCAGGAATCTGCTGCTTCTCCCAGACTCTCTGAGAGCACAGTCAATGTGACTGCTTGGTCTTATTTAATAAATTAAAATCGAGTGTTTCTAAAACAAGTCTACTGAAAAAGCAGCCAAATCAGGAAATTATGTTTAGAAGGTACAGATATTCTGAACACAGAAACTCATTGAATACATGGAAATCCTCATTTGTAAACAAAATCAAACAGGTGTGCTCAGGAACAACAGATTTAAGAGTTGTGACTCACACTGGGTAATAAATATTGTGTCTGTTCAGACTTAATGGGCTGGCCCAATGTCATACTCCCTCTCAACAGGGATATTTGAGGGGCAGAAAGAGGAAAAATAATATGTATTCCTTTAAACCTAGTAGATAGCATTCATGCAACTCTAGCAATGCAGTATTATAATCAATTCTCAGACTTATGGCTGGTGTGTACTTCTCGCCAATTCATGTGCAGCTAAAGACGTTCTATTGAAGGCCAAAAGAAATCATCCGCTTGGACCGTTTGTATCATAACCATGTTACAGTTAATTCTGTAGTGATTCCAAAAGCATATAGTGAATTAAAATACATCTCCCATATAAATATCTAGCTGTAATCAAAGTTATCAAGTGATATGAAAGATACTTTTTTGACTGGTAGATTGTTAGAAGAGGTCAATATTGTCAAAATTCTGTCCCTGCTTCCTAACTTGATTTTTTTTCTCTGGCTTCATCTAGACAGTTTTGCTTTTCTCTGCAAGATTTAATAATCCTTTAGTACTGCATATTTTCTCCCTGTGAAGATATTTATATATTGTAGTCTACTTACTTCTCAGTATTCTTTCTCATAAACTAAACAGATTGAGCCTTTAAGTGTTTTGCTATAAAGTATTTTTCTTCCCTTCTGCAAATCTTTTTTTTTTTTTTTTTTTTTTTTTTTTTTTTTTTTTTTTTAATATCCTTTCCAATTTTTCAGCACCTGTTTTAAAATGTGCCCAGCAAAGCAGTTAGGAGTGTTAGCCTGATCAATGCTGTACACAGACGTGAAGTCATGTCTCTGCTCCTGCTCACCTCTCCACCTCCTGTTCCGATCAGGCTGTTAGCTAATCACAAATGTCAAAGCAGCAGTACAAGTAAATCACTGTTAGGTCATCTTATTCATCCTCCTGGTGTAACAGATTCCCCTGCGTTGGTGTATTTCTGTAAGCCAAGCTTGGTTTTTCAAACCCTACTGATAGGCTTGTTTGTACAAGGGCAAAGGTCCCGCCCCTTGAGGGCATTTTGGGGTTTAGCTCCCATGCACAGCCTTCGGGATTTGTTCTTTACCAGGAGGAAAGGCTGAATAATTCCATGATGTTTATAGCCTTATGTGATTAAAATGGGGTAATCAGATCTGCTGTCAGGATGTTAGCTGATCGCATCAAGCATTCAGAGGGCAATCGCACAGGCTTTGTCTAGACTAGGGTTTAAATGCGTGTCATTAGCACATATTAGCTGATACATTTTAAAAGTCTGAGGCAGACAAGGCATAATGCCTTTAATGTGAAAAGCTGGCTGAGTTAGGCCCTTGGGCATTGGCATCTACATGGGTTTGTCTATTTCAGAGTTTTAGAATAAGTTAGCCAAGGGCTTGTCTGCAAAGACCAGTTAATTTGGAAGAAGGTAGGCTATGAATTTAAAGGACTTCTAATACTCCAGGTCTCTAAGACCAGAAAGGGATTCATTCTCAAGTAGTTACTGTGAAATAGCTCTGTATAGTAGCATAATACACTTATCTAGGTAAGTTTTCTCTTTAAAACCTACCCCCCAAAAAACAATTCCCATATGAGAGGTGCGGTATTTATAAATTAACCCTCCGATGCATTTTTGCTTTCATCACTGCTCCTCACTGAATACAGCTGATTAGTCTGTACTTTATCAGGGGAGAAGGATGGAAAACTTGTACACTCTGCAGATCTGTGTGCTGACGTTAAAAGCTGACTTGCATTTCACAGGGGGGAGACATGGTGTGCTTGTGAGAGGAATGGGAGTGGAGGAACAGAACACCATAAAATTGGATTAAAAGTAGAGGAGACTGGAGGAATTTTATTTGAACATGGCATTCCATCAAAAAAATAAAAATAAAATTAAAAAATCCCAGGACATCTCAGAATCCTCTTATAAACCAGAAGGAGGAGCAGGAAAAAAAAATAATACAATTTGATAGTACAAATCA